CGGAATGTGATAGAAAATGCATCAAGAAAAATGAGTATGAGACCCATGTGAGTTTACGGTAGTAGTAACCCAACCTTTTTTATCGGAGATCCCGTGACTAAGGATCTAGGAAGAACAAGCTATTGGTAAACTGAGGAGAGTAAACTATAACCCTCTCTATGTGAAGATGCAATACTCTCAAAGCAATGATGCACTGTATGGTAGGTTGGCGAATGTCTTAATGTGTTCTATTGGCTTTAACAAGCGAAGATGTTGTCCTGCAGAGCATTCTTTAAAGAACATATCTATATGAGCCTGACTATATAATGTCGCAGTCTATGAGACTTAGGTGATCTCTAGTAAGCTCGTGAAGAGACCAGGGAGTACGACGTATATGCTCCACCCATGGGGAAGGTTACTGGCAGCTAGGTACTAGTTTGACTTTGAGTAAAACTCGTTCGCACAAAACTTGCAATTCAAAGCATAGTCCATTGTTCAAGTTGTGGATGGATGTAACTTAAAGCTCTAGACGGATGTTCAACTTCACAGTCTCTGCTGAAACACTAGTATATAAACAATAGTGGGAGAAGAATAATATCTATACTAGGCAGTTGAGATCTAGTGGGGGATTGTTAGAATTTATATGGATAGTTCCCCTAAATTCATAAGAAAAAATTCTAATAAATCTCAAAGGCCCAATACTTATGTTCCCTAATGGGCTTTAATGTTTAAGCACATGAGTATAGATAGGAGGTACAACATCAATTAGTAACATATTACTAGTTGATGTGGATGTAGGGGTTCTCATCCTATATATATATATATATATATATATATATATATATATATATATATATATATATATCAATCCTCCTCGAAAAAGACACACCAAAAAACTACTAATGGGAGTTCTAGTTTGGAAAATCCAAAGGTAGTAAATTTGTATTTTTCCTCTTCTTGCTGCTGCGCTGTCGCCGTAGGCCTCATTCGGCTGGTTTGAAATTTGGCTTGTTCGGCTTCTTTTTTCAGTTGGAACAGTGTTTTTCTCTCACACCATTTCAGCCAGGACAGTGTTTTTCAGCCAGTTTCAGACCAGCAAATGGGGCCTAGTCTCTCCATCCCGGCGTCTGCGTGTATCGACGTTCGGGGGAGCAGGTCTCTGGAACCCTCGTCCTTATGATCCTGCACCGGGAGAGGACGTATAAGGTTTTTGGGAAGCGCTCGTCGCGCGACTGCTCCCGACTTTGTCGACGGGTCGTCTTCCATCCAAGTCAGGCAGTGCTACATCCCGACGTATTCGTCGTCAGCTGCTTCGAGCTCTTCCTTCACCACTCATCGACGACTTAGTACCACCACCACCACCGTCTCCCTCTGCATCATCTTCACCGGCGACACTATTTTCTTCTACAAACAAAAGATACACGCCACGTGACCAATCTATTATTGTCGTTCGTCTACTGTATTGATCATGCTGATCTTAGCTACGTTGCTAGCTATGTTGCTATTAATGTTGCCTGATTTAACTAGTATGTTAGAGATCTGCATGCTAGTTTATGGAATTGTCATGATTTGTATTCTGTTATTAATCTGAAAATTAATCAGAAATTGCCTAGACTGATGCTCCCGCTTACCACTTACTCCTCTAGAGCCTTTTCTTTTTTTCTTTTTAAAAGTTAAAAAGAGCCTTTTGTTTGCCACGTGGCAAGTAGATCACAGGACCAATGCCGTCCTTCTAGAAACTCTTGCCGATTCAAAGGAGCAGCAGGGTTCACTCTCGCCCACCAAGCAGGCAGACACGTACTGTACGGTTGAAAACACAAGGCGACTGATGATAACAAGGAAAGGCGCGGCAAGATTAAAAAAAACGCAGAGATTCAGTAGAATTAATTACTCTACTTCTGAATTTAGTTGGATTACGCGTAGAGTTGGGGCCTTGGGGATAAGGCGTAGACTGAGACATGGGGTGCCCCCGCGTGCCGCGACATCCACGTCTCGTGGCTAGGGGGCGACGCGGTTTGGCGATCTTCCCCGAAGCTTCCTCCGGCGCTCCCGGCCCCCGTCCTGCTTGCCAACTGACGCCGAACGCACACGATGACACGGCGCGCTCGAGTCAGCAGTCACACAGTCACAAACTCACAATCACCATCGCCACGGGTACGAGACGAGACGCACCACCCACCCACCGAAGCGGCGATAAAACCGCCCTCGGCACACGCGGCGGCACCTCCCCACTTGCACTTGGCTGGAGCTTCTCCTTTTTCCATTGCTCTGCTTCGCGTCTCCCTCCCTCCTTGCCTCCGCCTAACACAGCAGCGCAGGAACACAGAGAGCGATCGAGGCCATGGAGGGCTACGACCGCGAGTTCTGGCAGTTCAGCGACACGCTGCGCCTGCAGACGGCCGCCTTCTCGGGCCTCTCCCTCGGCGACTCCATCTGGTCCCCCGCCACCGCCGACCGGCGCAACAACAACAACGACCTATTCGCCGCCTCCGCGTCGCCCGCCGACGCCGCCGCCAAGAACAACGGCTTCGTCGGCCTCAAACTCAACGATGGCGGACCGGGCCTCATCGGCTCCGGGAAGCTCGCCTTCGGCGGCGGCAAGGCCGACCGCTACAACAACCTCCCCACCACCGAGAAGGCCGCGTCCGTGTACAACAACAACAACGGCGGCGGCTACGCCAAGAACAACAACAACAACGCCCTGGCGTTCAGCAAGATGGGGAGCTACGGCTACACCAGCAACGGCAACAACAGCAGCGGAGAGGTGAAGAGCTACTTCAACAAGTCCGCCGGGAGGGCGGCGAGCAACAACAGCCACGGGCACGCCGGCGGCAAGAAGGGCGGGGAGTACGGCAAGAAGAAGCACGCCAAGAACGAGGGCAACAACTGGGGTGGCGCGGCGGCCACGGACAAGCGGTTCAAGACGCTGCCGGCGTCGGAGGCGCTGCCGCGGGGCCAGGCCATCGGTGGGTACATCTTCGTCTGCAACAACGACACCATGGACGAGAACCTCAGGAGGGAGCTCTTCGGTGAGTCACTGATCGCTGGGCTGGCTGGGCTGACCAGCCCTCACATGAGTACTGTTCACACGAACCAGCCAGCACTACTCTTTCGTATAAACGAACCAACAACGATACGAACCAGCCAACCAAATAAATAGCATCTTAAGTACTACTCTCTCTTACGTAAACGAACCAGTAAACGAACCAGCCAACCGAATGAATAGCATCTCTCTCTATTTCAGTGAAAAAAATAGGAAAACCGAAAAGGAGCAATATTTGTTCATATCTATGAACTTGTTGATTGATGTTGATGATGATAAACACCAGCAGCATGCTGATTAGTGGTGTTGTGTTTGATGGATGGATGCAGGGCTGCCGTCGAGGTACAGGGACTCGGTGCGGGCCATCCGCCCAGGGCTGCCTCTTTTCCTCTACAACTACTCCACCCACCAGCTCCACGGCATCTTCGAGGTACTCCTACACTACAGTAGCCAATTCGTGATCCCCTTTCTCGCTTCTTCATCTGTCCTTAGTTGTACCGTACCGTACTCATGGATCCGATTCGATTCCGATCACCAGGCCGCGAGCTTCGGCGGGACCAACATCGACCCGGCGGCGTGGGAGGACAAGAAGTGCCCCGGCGAGTCGCGCTTCCCTGCACAGGTACCTATCTGCTTCATTCAATCCAGTCCTCTTGTCATGGCGGATGATCGATCAGCTCAGCCACTAGCGTGACTTTTTCACTTGTTTGAGTGGTTCAACAACACCAAACAGTACATTACCGACAGACGAAGGCTAGCCGCCAGCGTAGCGACCCATAACCCATTCACTTCACATGTGGCGACGACGTGTGGAATCGCAAAAGATTAGAGGCCCCGGGATAAATTTGTCTACAATCGCCGTGTGTAACCAAACGGACTCGTTATTAGTTTATGCCATGAGCGAAAGTATTTTTAGCTAATTTTTTGTTTGAAAAAAAATATTATTCATCGATCGAAAAAGTACGGCCAAGCACACAGCTTGGACAGTCAGCGGAGAGGTTTGGTGACTTTAGGTCAGCTTGCTTGGTTCCTAGGTTGCTTGGCCAGCCGGCAGAGGATCGATCTGGTCGCAGGGCGTCAGAGCATCTAGATGCTGCAACTGCAAGCGGTGTGAGGATGTCACCTGTAGCTGTAGCCTGTATTCCATCTCATCTACTAGGACTCTATAGGAGTACTCCCTCCGTCCCGTTAAGATTGTCGCTCGGGAAGCGGGATTGTGAGGGGGGCACGGTTTTCCAACGACAAACTCAATGGGACGGAGGGAGTAGTAGTTGTTGTTGCCCAAGTGGTGACGCATGGTGCTTGTGATGTGCAGGTGCGGGTGGCAACGCGGAAGATCTACGACCCACTGGAGGAGGACGCCTTCCGTCCCATCCTCCACCACTACGACGGACCCAAGTTCAGGCTGGAGCTCTCCGTCGCCGAGGCCCTCGCCCTCCTCGACATCTTCGCCGACAAGGACGACGCCTGATCCTGATCCTGATCGGATCGTCAGGCACTCAGGCTTGGAATTTGGATGAATGAATAATGGATGGACTTGTGGAGTAGTATATTAATAATAATTAATATAATATATCCACCTTTGTTTGATATTAAGGGCTATGTATGAGGCACGCGTCCCATTGTTTTTTTTTATATAACACTTGTGCGATGATTGCACAGGACTAGCCCTCGTGTTTTGTAAGACAAAACTCGTACTAAGATATCTGTATTATTCAGGTCCAACTGACATGTATAAACCATCTGTGAAATGATCTGTTCTTGTGCTGTACTACAACTGAACGTAAGGAACGGTCTTTGTTACTCTGTTCAAGCACCAGACGTGTTTCTATTGGATTAGAATTTTGTCCCTGGCGACAATTACAATGCGCACCTCGGCTAGTATAACAACACTGTCTGAATGCTCCAGATTCGAAAGCATCAGCTACCTGCCAGACCATGACTCACTCCAGACAGTACAGCAGAAACCATTGAGCTTTCAACCGATTCTAGAAGAGAATTGATCAACTCGCAGCGTCTGGAAGCAGATAAAGTAGCTGCACAAAGTACGTCGAAGAACATCACAGTTAGCACCAGATAAATCGAGTCAGCCGCGGCCCACAGGGCCCATAATCTTCCATTCACCGATTTAAGTTTTAATAACACCTAAAACACATTTGTACAAAACTGCGGAATGGAGATCCAGAGGAGTAATATCAACAGCAGATCCACAACGGAGAAAAAAAGGGTGGGGAAGGAAATCTCTCCTCAAATACATCCTGACAATCTATCTCCGGTCAAGAAGCATACCACATCAAACATTCACCACCGAATTTTCTTCCCAAAGGTTTCTTCTTGCTTTTCTTCTCCTCCAGCTTCAACCAAACATATATTATGCGGAGCAGGGTCAGCCATGAGCGAGCTGTGGTGATGGACCATATACCACCTGCCGTTCCAGAGCTCGTACACGTTGGTCACATGGAACAGCACAGGGTCAACGTCAACATTCGCCTTCATGTTGACCCATGCCACCTCATCGAGCACACGGACACGGACATCCCTTATCTGGAAGGCAATGCCCTGCCCTCCATCTTGGCCCCAGTTGAATAGCAGGCCCCAGCTCTCCATCACTGCGTTGTATCTGAGAAAGAACGGAAATGGATTAGCATCTATGACACAAGTAAGGCCTGTTAGATAACGCCTCTTCAACCGTTCGATTAGAAAATCAATACTCATAAGGGGAATAAAATAAAAAAGGCTTTTTACAATTTCAATACAAACATTCATCCCAAATACAAAACAACAATACTGAAGGTGTTAGCATCTATGACCTGACACACCAAGCCTATAGTCGATGGATTTAGTTCTATACTTATATGGTATGGTTAGCTGGTTAATTAAAGCTACTACAAGACAGCAACCAATGGGTCCTGATACTGCCAACGCATACAAATTTTAGTTCAGTTCTCACAAAAGAAACGGATATTTCAATGAGCACATCTTCATTTATGTTCACAGGTACAAAGGTTATTCAAAAGTGTACTTCATAAGATGAAAACTACATGTGTGCACACTGTTTTAAAAGGCAATCCCCCTAGCCCTCCTAATAAGTGACGAGACGCTAGATAACCTTCAGCTGCCCATGTAGCATCTAGTGATTTTTCAGACATTTGTGTGTATAACTAGAAACTAGCACTTTTGTCAAAAAAAGATAAATAAATCCAACCGATCTTCAGCATAGTTGCAAGATCTCAACAGTTGGAGCTACTAGAAGGACAAGCAAAAGGAAAGAACAAAAATTGAATACGGAGAAACTCTGAGGATAGAAATAACAGAATGGCAGAAATTGGCATACCTATGCATAGGTGTGACTGTCTAATAGTATTATATATTAATAAATTATACAAATAACTAGACTTCACAAGTCACAAGCTATTTCTCATGGATATGGCCACAACTCTATGGTATGGAAGCCTTAAAAAAACTTCTACTCTAGCCATGGTCTTATATGTTGTGTCTAAGCAAGCATACTTCATAGTGTGTATGTGAGCCATGGTCTTATATGCTGTGTCAGCAAGGACGGTTCATAGTAGGCGTGATTGGTTGGGACGTTTCCAGCCGGCACAGGCCAGTGAGATGCAGCTCCATAGCGATTGGTTCGCTGCACAACACGTGCCAGAGCCTGGCCTGCGGCATGCAGCAAGCCCTGCCAAGCCTGGCCGTGGGGGAAGCGAGAACCGATTCGTTTCCTCTGAGCCTGGCCCTGGGGGGGTGTGAGCGTGCACTGTGACTCTGCGAGAAAGAACCGGTGCAGCTACAAGCCAGAAAGTAGGCAACCAAACAACAGATGTGTTCATCTAGTATGTACTAATACAGTCAACCAAACAAAATGACGTTGCACACAACAGGCCTGTCCTAGCTCAGCCAGGCTCATAGGAGCGAGCCAGGTTCACCTCGGCACCAAACCAATCAGGCCCATTGTGTATGCATTTTTTTCTGAAGAACTATCAGCAGAGCTTGATTTAGTAAAAGAAACAAAATTAATAGTTATAGTAATGCATTGGTGTGTCACTGTCTATATAACAAAAAAAATCATGTGTTGACTCAAAACTTATCTGCTTCTCCACCAATGATTCATAGTGTGTATGTTAGCCTTGTCTCATATGCTGTGTCTAAGCAACCACGATTCATAGTGTGTATTTGTTTTTTTCTGAAGAACTATCAGCAGAGCTTAAAGTTTGTAGAAGAAACAAAATTAATCATTACAATAATGCATTGATATGTGTGTATATACCAAATAATTCAAGTGTTGACTCAAAATTTCTCTGCTTCTCCACCAATGCAATGCAAGGATACCTGTCGGTGTCTCTCTAACAGGTATCAAATTGTATCAAACAAAATTTACTTCACATTGACCTAACATATGCAACGAGTTAAAATTAATTTGCTAAGAACCTTATAGCATACTCCATCCATTTAAGCAATGTGTCCATGGCCACCCATTGGGCACAGAACAAGGAAACCTAACATCTATGCAAACGAAGCAATAGATCAGCCACAACTAGGTGCACACCCTTGGAAGATACAAGTCAACATGTAAGTCTGTACATGCATTGGTTATTCCTTCCAAATAAACACCTTGCATTTAAAGTCAACAACATCGATCACCAACTTGCCTGAATTGCAATGAAAATGGCTTAGTCGACTTGTAAATAAACCATAGGCCCGCAAAGCAGAAGGATTAGAAACCAGAGAATAATTAGAACTTTGAATCGATCGCAGTGAAGTCAAGACAAGACATACCCAGTGCAGAACTCCCCAGTTGCATGAATACACTTGACATAATCTGCATTAAGCCAAAACGGCTCATTGCTGGCAAGGACCCTTCCTGATGATATTGTAGAACTCTGCATTAAGGTTAATGATGGCTTTTGTAGCTGCATAGTATGCCTTCCATCCATTAGGAGGATTTATAGTACCCTGCTCCACCGTAAAATCCTGCAAGAGTTGATTTATTAGATTAAAAGGATGCAAAACAAAGTCAGAAATTATTATTAAAAAAATCTTTCATCATAACCACAGGAATTGCCTTTTTAAACAGTCAAAATACACAACTTCACAGTCACATCAAGGAGGGGAACAAAAGGAGAAATTCAACAAGTTACATCAATAACTTCTTATCCAATTAAAAGGTCATGTAAATTCAAATGGAACACAGAAAACTAACCCATAAGTTAAGTTGTGCAGAGAGTTAGAAGGGACGACTGTATGATAAACAAACACAGTATTATGATTTGCGGGCAGCCTAAAAACCCGGCAAACAAGGGTACATCCGTACATGTACACAACACAAACTTTCTTGCTTGTCATAGGCAGTCACATGCCTATCAACATGGGAAGATTGTGAAAACACCAGGAAAGATTCAGAAACTGAAACAAGGTGAAGTCCTTCACATCATATCTGGGTAACTTCCCTTCAGTTCAGAAATGGAAGTAGATGCCATGGCAAAGTTCAGGCCATCCCGTGTGTCCGATGAGAGCTATGGACGTTCGCAACGGCTTACCAAAAATTTCAGTTGCTGAGAGTAGGGATGAAAACGACCGGAAAGAGTCGGTTCCGATATTTACTATGCAGAAACGATTCACGGTCGGTCGGAAACTCACCATATTTTCATTTTAACTATTTATTAACGGCATAAGAAATTAAAAAATCAAAAGTTGAAATAAGGTAATGGTTGAAAACCATCATAAAAGATATCACTATTTCGGAAATGAGTCCCGATAAACAAAATCTTCCATTCTCACTTTCATCCCAAACTTAGAGAAATCCATATGGATTCCGGATAGAATAACCGTACAAAGAAAATATACTATCCACATGAGCTTTTGAATTAGGTCGTTCCATATCCCAACCCCTATCCTACCCCTCGGACCTGTTAAGCTATTGATAAGCCAAGCTGAAAAGAACTTGTGGTTGATTCGTTGCGAAAGAAAAACACTGTTCGTTCGCTGAAAAAGTATGGCTCATAAGATAACGATACAATTGTATGCACCAGCAGAAAGGTAATACACCCAAACCTCAAGACAGTGATGGTCCATTTACAATGGAAACAAGCAGGGACGGATAAACTACATTGCCAATCAGACAGTAGAGCAGTCAAGGGGAAGTTCAGGGAGGGTTGTGGGCGCATCAGGCCCAGCAGCACACCTTGTGGTACAGTGACTTCCAGGCGCCGTCGTCGTTGGCCGCGCGGCGCATGGCGGAGTTGGTCATGGAGAGACGGCAGAGGCTGGTGTAGTCGAGGTAGCTGAGCGCGTGGGTGGTGATCTCGGGCACGAGCTGCTCCATCATGGAGGGCGCCTCCGGCGGAGCCGGCTCCGACGCCTTCTTCTTGTTCTCCCCGCCCACAGCCATGTCGCCGTTGGCGGACTTGGCGTCGCGGCAGCCGCAGGAAGCGCAGCCGCAGCAGTTGGCGGGAGGGGATCGGTGCTTCTCTGAGGATGCGGGGGAGGAGGAGGAAGAGGAGTGGAAGACCCAGAAGGCGCAGGCGAGGCAGCAGACGGCGGTGGCACCGGCGGCGATCAGGACTCGGGCGCCGTCCATGCGGATGCGGACATCCAGGTCGCGGGGGCGACGGCGGCGGAGGAAGAAGAGGAGGTCAGGGTGTGGAGGTAGGGTTTGGACGGCATCCCATCACACGGAAGAGGAGGCTAGGGTTTTGTCGTTTGGGTTGGGAGGAGACCGAGATGGGGAATGAATGAGCACGGAGCACGCGGGTGGGGGGGGTGTTCTGGTTTCCGTTTCGGATCGAGGAAGACGAACAGAGAATGGATGCGATGCCACTTATGAACGGGTTTGAGTTGGGCTTGGGCACCGTCACCGTGGACGCAATCGCCGGATCGGCGTTCGGTTCTGGGAAATCGTCGCATTCGGCGTTACGGTGGAGGGTGACCGTAGATGTCGACTTAGGTAGCGAGCTAGTAGTATGTTACTGGCAACTCTAGCAATGTCTTTACTTTCAATCCCTGAATATGAAATCTTTAGGGGTTTTTTTTGTCAGCACTGTTCATCTCACTATATTTTAAGGTGCGTTTAATTAGTGTTCGGTTGGCGGACGAGTTAAATATGGAATATTCTTCTAGACGTTGGATATCTTGAAAAAAAATTGTCTGGTTTTCTAATCTATGTAATTAGTAAATAATTAAGGATTATTAGTATGTTATATTACTATTTAGTAATTATGATGGCAAAATAATTTTGATAAGTGCTAATATGTTGATTAGTGCATGTTTTGTATGCCAATTAGGATAATAATTGTGCTAATTAGCATATTTTTGTAATTAGTGACTATAGCATGACAAGATTAGTGTTAATACATATTATTAGTGTATAATTAGCTATTTTTTAAAATGATATAAATACAATTAGTCAAGTATTCTTATCTCATCTGCTCTCATCCATCTAACCAAACAGAAAAAATGACTCTTTCCCTATCAATCCAACCAAATAAGCAACGTGGATATCCATGTCTCTAAATTTATGGATGGTCATATCCCATATGAAAGGTCCTAGTTTAGTTTTGGTAATTAAGTGACAACTTAGGTGGACTAATATGAGCTTATGTTGAGATACGCAAATATTAGTCCACAAGTACACTGGTGTAAGCAACACTTTAAAGCCACGATGGAGAGGGATTTTGGGTTGTTGCGCAAGTGCTCAACTAGCGTGTTGAAGGAACTTATTGCATATGAACCATAACATTATGTTATGTGGTTAGGTAGAGAAGATCAAGAGGCATAGCTTGGCTACAATGGACCGGGTTGCAAGCATGAAGATAAGCTAGAGGCTTAGGGTGCGATGGACCGTTGAGACAGTGAAACACGAGTAGAAAAGCTCAACGCCAATGGACCAAGGTAATGGTGAAGAACAATTGAAACTGCAACCGATGGACCAATAAGGTCATGTGATGACATGAAGTGGATGAGAGGATCTAGATGACAAGAGAAAGACAAATAACCTATAAAAAATTTTCTACAAAAGCACAACACTAGCACAAAGATGATTAGTACAATAAGTGATCCTAATAGCCTCTACTTGCTCTAGCTCCATACATGTACACTCGGTTGCTTTTCTGTCGTCAAGTTTTGCTCCAGCTTCTTGATTGAGCTATTATTATAGCAAATACTTTTTAAATGTATATATGTGTGCGCGCTAAATTATTCAAATTCACTGCCCTACTTCCATATTCCGTACTAAATCTGTCCTAAATTATAAGATGTTTTGGTTTTTCTAGATACATTATTTTCACGATGTATCTAGACATAATGTATATCTATGTGCATAGCAAATGCAACATATCTAGAAAAGCTAAAACGTCTTATAATTTAGAATGGATGAAGTACTTATGTATTGCAATCAAATGTTGCAATTATAGTCTATATTTAAAGTGACAATTGAAAGTGCATCTAGCCCTTTAGTGGGTTTTAGAGATTCAATGATAACGTGATTAAAGGTCTAACCCGTTTGCTAAGTGTGGACAGGTAATAGGTTATCTCACAGGTACTTAATGAAAGCCAAAATGATATGTTGTTGCATAAACAATCTAGTTCAAGCACAAGACAACAATGCAAATAGAATTCATGCAAAGACTTATTTATTGTGGGATTTCCATGTACTATGTGAAAGCAAGCTTGTAAGAATTAATTAATGAGACATAAGTGATTGTATATGGAATGGTCTCATATTTGAAGCTTGCTAAATTGAAATGAAAAAGATAACAATACATGAATGGATGATTCAACACAAGATATGACTTGATGGCTTAAGATTGTGAAGATAGATGTAACACCCCTGGTGTTAGTCTTGCCTAATTGCACTTGCATTTCATGAACGTGAGCATCATTCATCCATTCATGAGCATATATCATATGAAACATGTTATCGAAACATTGAAACGTACTGTATATTTCATGAGTGTTGTTTTTGTGAATTAAAGAGTGTGCAACACCCAAGTGCAACATGTGCAACTCACTTTAGTGGAACCTAGCTAGTTATTGTAATGCAACAAGATCCCGAAACATGTGAAACATGATTATGAAACAAAAGTATCATTTCAATTGTTTTTCATCGTTTTAGTGCATTCAGTGCTTGATTATTGTATGACCAATGTGGGGTATGGCTAAATATATTGTTAAACATCCTAGCTATGCTTAGAAAGTCATTAGGAACAATGTTCATGTTGATCATTTTGTCTAATTAAGTTTCCAAGTCATGGGTTGACTTGTTTTGACCCTAGGACTCTTTGGTTTGACTGTTCAAAAAGTACCACTTAGAATGTTTGCATGTCTGAGCAACCTAAAACAAAGTTGTAGCAAATTATATAAGGAACAAAAGTTATTTTGTGACCAAGTCATGAAAATGTGCACAACATGCTCTAAATGGTCCCACAAGTCAGAATTTGGGTTGGGTTCAACACTTAGAAATTTTCTAAGTATAAACTCCATTTTTCAGTTTCTTGAGCACGACTTTGGCATGATTTTACTCTCTGTCCTTTGCGAATTAGACATTGATCTCTAAAGGAGTTTTGTAGCTGGCATGTAGGTGTACAACTTTTGTTTTGATTTCTTTCGCTAACGATCAACGGATTAGGAGATAGAGCATCACCATTTGGCGCTGTCAGTCGGTTCCTTGTTCTCTGAATCGCGCTACAGTGTTATGGATTCAGACCGTTCATGGCCGACCAAGGTCAGATGGCGGCCGTCAGCGGCGGTTCGCCACGCGCCGCTCGCGCTCGACCACGCAGATCGTTGGCCGGCTTGAAGAGGAGGCGTGCCTCGCGCGCTCCGCACGCGCTCTGCCCTCATTCACCCTCCGTTGCCTTCCCCATTCATAGCCGCAGCGCACCGCCGACGCCATCAGCTCCGCCGAGCTCGCTCGAGCTCGCCGCGGCGCCACAGCCACCACCATCCAAACCGTAGCTCCGCTATCGCCTCGCGGACCTCGTCAGCGCCCTCACGGAGCCAGCCAAGCTGTAGGTGAGCGACATTGCCGAACCTTGCACCACCGCGGCATGGCCGCCATGGTCGCCGCCGGTGATCTCACGCGGTCCCGCCTGACCGCTTCACCGTAGCCGTTAGCCGTAGCATAGGAAGGTCCGTCTTGTTCACCGAAAGCTTTGCGTTTTGTATGGCTACCAACCGGCGGGGCTCGGCTGGAGCACCGCCAGGCGCCACTGCCGAGCCGCCATGGGCCATGGCCGACATCCCCGAGTCCACTAGAGTCTAGTTTTAGGAGTGCTATGGATGCGGGAGGCCGAGGTGGGCACGCCGTCGCCCTCGGTTCCACTAGAGAAATCGCCGCGCCGACGAGATGGCGTCGCTTCGCGCCATTATTCGCCGCCTCCGTTCTTTTTTGATCGGCGACGCTGCGGGCCCTTTTTTGTCACCGCCCGCTGCTGCATGAGGGAACTGTGAGCTGGGTGCGCTGCTCGGGGTGTGTGCTGCAGTCGTGGGCCGCTTAATCCGATCGGGCTGGCCCAAAGAGGTGATTAGGTTTTCTTTTTGTTTTGTTTATTTTGTTTTTCATGATTTGTGTGCACGATTCAAAAATGTGTAAATCAAGTTTGGTAGATCCAAATGTTATGGTTCTAATTTTGTTGAGTTCCTGGTAATGTCTAGTATTTAATAAAAATATTAGATGAGCACAGGTTTTAGAAATTTTGGATGAATTAAATAGGACTTTGAAATGTGTTTTTAGATGCATGCAAACTTGTTGAAATTTTATCTTAAGTTTCTGTGGTCCAAAAATTATGAAATTTTGTGGGTATGCTAGTCTTACTTAGTAGAAGCTCTGGTTAAAATTTCAGAGCTAGTGCATGTGTGGTTTTTGAGTTATAGATTTTCCTTTTATCATTGATTAATACTTGTGTGAATTTTCATAATTTTTCTATAGATCCAGTAAAGTTAAAATTTGTTGAGTGCTATTCTTATGATCGAGTGATACTAGGAAAAATGAGAAATCTGTTGCTTGACACTTTTAACTAAGGTTTCCTATTTATGCCTTTTTAAGCACTTATGCCTTGTCATTTTTGTGTAGACTATTTTACTTATCCAAGTGCCATGAAAATTTTATGGTAGTCTACTTAGAGTAGTACTATGCTACTGTAATTTTCTTAGATTTTTATAAGCACAAAAAATATAGGTTGCTGTTGTAGCCCTAGTTTAAAATGAAATAAAATAATCCTCTTAAATGCAAGTTAGTTAATAATGTTCGCTTTGGTGTATCTTTGAAGCATTTAATAAGATGTGTTGACTTAACATATTAGTAGTAGAAGAGAATGCAGTAGATAACATGTGCTTGTAGTATATTTTCTTGGATGATGTTGACTACCTTGCATTCAAACATATTCATTGTATTCATCTCATCCGATGCACCGATTGCATAAGCACTTACGCACATTGCATCATACAGGATCGCAAACCGAGAACCCAGTCGTCATACCCGAGGAGCCCGAGGAGCAGTTCAAGGTGCAGCCGCAGGAAGTGCCAGAAGCCGACGAGGAGGACGTTGAGGAACTTCCAGAGTGCCCCGATCACCGTTCGAGC